GTGAAGCCTCAGGAGTGGTTTCTAATAACAGCACTGGGTAATGCCAATGCAGCACCGTAAAGGCATTAGGACATCAATGTTCATTATTTTCGAGTCCAAATTGCACTGTCAATGCTTTGTAACAGCACTACGCTTCTTCCCTGCAAATGCGGTCACCGTGATGGCAAACGTGCACCGTGCTCTACGGGCGCAAATAAAAGAGCGTCTATGAATGGATCAGCGGGCAAGTGTTTGTCACCGTGAAGCGCATTGGTATGAACCAGTATGCATCATGTATCATGTGGTACTTCCATTCCTAAAGCCAAAATGCGCCTCGAAAAGAGCGGCTGTGGTGAGCGCCTTGGTGGAAAAGCAAAGCCATGGTATAATGTTTCGTTGCACTCGCGGGATAAGAGCTTCATGTTCGCATATCCTTTTGTCTAGACAGCGTGCTCCAAGCTTTTGCAGCATTTATTACGCAAACAGTTTGACACATTGGTGTGTTGCTGACACTGCAGAATACACACGTTGGAAAAAGCAAGGCAAATTAAATTATTACATTCATAGTGGTGAGCAGGGAGTCTAATGAGCTTTCTCCCGCAGGGTCGGCTACTTCAAACCGAGATTCTGAGTTATTCAGAAGGATTTCGAGAACATTGGTGTTACTGATAAAATCGTACACGTCCGGTGTGACAATAAGTGAAAAGCACAACGGAGTCGGGATATTCCCTCCAACATGCCATTTCCACCTCTGGCGGCTGTGCGTTATCGTTCCCACATACGGAACAGGTGCTGAGAAAAGCATACACCTACAGCGCAGGAGCGCAGCGTCTTGTCGGCTGCGCGCGCGGCGCTCCGCCCTTACCTCGGTGACGCCAAAGAGAATTCCGGACGGCGCTGGTCGTTGGCATGGTCGCGATTGTGACCCACGGGTCTGCTGGACGGGCCAGCGCTAGCCGCAGCGGCTGGACCGGGCAAGCGAACTCCGCTACCGCTCTCTGGGTGCAGCCGTTGCTCTCCGGGTTCACGTCTGAGACAACGTGGCGCTGAGGCGGACGCTCAGCGACCCGGTCGGAATAACGCCGCGGCCGATGTGCTGTCAACCGAACGAACGTGGGGAGCAGCAGGTGGCGTCAGGGCGTGGCCAGGCGCGAAACTAAGTATTTTCTAATGTTTTGTTGTAAAATTCTCGCCGAGCATCCGTTAGTGGCCGTTCCCTTTCTTTGACGGAAGGCAAAGTATTCGTCTTGAAACCTTTTCTGCTCGTTGACACTGTTCCTGGCTGGCATAGTTACAGTTTGGTGCCTTCGTGGTGTTATTTGACCTTGAGTTTTGGGTGCATATACAGATCTTTGACCTGATCATTCTCCTTTGGCCTGACCATCGACGTGAGCTGTATCTTGTAAACGTATGAATTGTAATTCATCAATGAGATCCAGTGCGACTCCCATGTGTATGAGAGCCCCTAAGGGCTTCTCTTGATCTCTGACCGGATCTTAGGTGTGATGATTTATCCGGTTTCCGATGGCAGTGATGACCAAACCTCTTCTGGCATCGGCCCTGACCCTGAACATGACCTCCAGTCTGACACCTGGCTTCTGTTGTCGCCGTGGTCTTCATGGGGGCTTTGCGACGCACTCAGCTGCAGAGGCTACATGGCATCACTCCTTCTCGACCGGACGGGAAGGGCGGGCACCGCGTGGAGTCGAACCCTGTACCTCCGGCTTCCCTGGCCTTATTACTTTTTTATTACCTCGTATCACTTTGTACCTGTCCTTATGAACTGCGACTTCCGACCAGTCACCCGTAATTTGTAGCCTGGCCTGACCTCCGACACGTGGCCTGTGGCCTCCGGCTTCTGAACCCTAACAATTGGCCACTGACCATCGCTCTGAGACCAGTGTGGCGTATGATCTGGTACATCTTTCCTGTGACGTCTGACCTGAGGTTTCTGCCCGTTGGCATCTGACCTGAGATATCTGCTCTATGTCCTCTGACCACTCACGTCTGACCTCTGATCTCTGACCTTAGACATGTGCAGCATCTGACCTGGGATATCTATCCTGTGGTAACTGGCCTGATGTTTTAACGCTGTGGCCTCTGACCTGGTAATTCTGTCCTGCGATCTTTCTCCGGAGGCCTGTGTGACCTCATGTGACCTCTGACCACTGACCTGTGCCCGGCCCAGGTGTTCGCCACGTGCCGTTCTCCGTCGTCGGCCGCCCAGCTGGCGGAGGTGCTCAGCTCCCTGCAGCAGCCCCCAGCCACGCCGCTGGACGTCACCGACGAGGCGACCATCCAGCAGGCGTACAGCACGGTCCGCGCCGCCACCGGCCGCGTCGACCTACTCATTAACAACGCAGGTCGGTCGGCGCCGGCGGACGCGCCTCGGCGCTCACCACTGTGCGCGGCTGGCACGCTTTCGGGGCGCCACGAATGGTGTTGTCGTTGGTGCCTCCTGATCACCGTCACATCACTGGAGACAAGATATGGTCCAGGTTTAGCAGCCGGGCGCGCTCCTCCGCTGAACGCCGTCGACGGCGGCGCAGCCCATGGCGGTCCGGCCATTGGTGGTTCAACCTACGGCGGTTCAGCCGGTGGCGTACGGTTCAGCCGATGGCGGCCCAGCCGACTGCGGTTCAGCTGATGAAGGACGGCTTAGCCGATGGTGGCCCAGCCAATGGCGGCCAGCTCCATGACGAGCTTGAAAGGACCGCGGCAAACACACGAGTGCGCCTGCGCCTGCACACGCATAAGCACGCACGCACGCACGCACGCACGCACGCACGCACGCACGCACGCACGCACGCACGCACGCATGCATGCATGCACGCGCGCACGCAGACACGCGTTTGCTCTTTGGCGGAGGAGGCGGGGTGCGCGGCCGTGACCTGACCGTGTACCCGGTCCGGCAGGCATCGCCACCCGGGGGCATCCGGTCGAGCCGTGCCTGACGGCCGACGTGGCGGAAATGAACCGGCTGTTCGCCACCAACGTCTCGGGCGTGGTGCGCACCACGCAGGTGTTCCTGCCGCTGCTGCGGGCCAGCCCGCGGCCGCGCGTGATCAACATCTCGTCTGGCCTCGGCTCGCTCGCGTGAGGCATGACGCGCGCCGAAAGCCCCGGCTGCTGCCGGAGTGGGTGGAGGGGCGGTCGCCCGAAGGCTGGCGATGTGCGCGGGGGGCAATCTGAGACCGGCCGCGGCCGCGACTTTGCGTAGCACTTTTGGTTTATCGGCGGCTGCTAATGTATTAGATCGCCCAGTTGTATGCATGCATAGCGAATGGGAACAGCCGCAAGGGATCTCTATATACGGCACAGATGTGATCACACCGTGACTGGTGCACCTTTGTACCGCGATGACCCACTGGAACACCATGTTACACTTGTGCTCCGCTGTGACCTACTGTGACCTGCACATCTGTGCTCCGCTGTAACTGTGACCGGGGTGCTCCGCTGTAACTGTGACCGGGGTGCTCCGCTGTGACCACCATGACAGTACACCCGTGCTCCGCTGCGACCACTGTGACCGGTACATCCGTGCTCCGCTGTGATCACTGTGACCGGTACATCCGTGCTCCGCTGTGATCACTGTGACCGGTACACCCGTGCTCCGCTGCGACCACTGTGACCGGTACATCCGTGCTCTGCTGCGACCACTGTGACCGGTACATCCGTGCTCTGCTGCGACCACTGTGACTGGTACATCCGTGCTCCGCTGCGACCACTGTGACCAGTACATCCGTGCTCCGCTGTGACCACCATGACAGTACACCCGTGCTCCGCTGTGACCACCATGACAGTACACCCGTGCTCCGCTGCGACCACTGTGACCGGTACATCCGTGCTCCGCTGCGACCACTGTGACCAGTACATCCGTGCTCCGCTGCGACCACTGTGACCGGTACATCCGTGCTCCGCTGTGATCACTGTGACCAGTACACCCGTGCTCCGCTGCGACCACTGTGACCGGTATATCCGTGCTTCGCTGCGACCACTGTGACCGGTACACCCGTGCTCCGCTGCGACCACTGTGACCGGTACACCCGTGCTCCGCTGCGACCACTGTGACCTGTACATCCGTGCTCCGCTGCGACCACTGTGACCGGTACACCCGTGCTCCGCTGCGACCACTGTGACCGGTACACCCGTGCTCCGCTGCGACCACTGTGACCGGTACATCCGTGCTCCGCTGTGATCACTGTGACCGGTACACCCGTGCTCCGCTGCGACCACTGTGACCGGTACATCCGTGCTCCGCTGCGACCACTGTGACCGGTACATCCGTGCTCCGCTGCGACCACTGTGACCGGTACATCCGTGCTCCGCTGCGACCACTGTGATCGGTACATCCGTGCTCCGCTGTGATCACTGTGACCAGTATACCCGTTCTCCGCTGCGACCACTGTGACCGGTACATCCGTGCTCCGCTGCGACCACTGTGACCGGTACACCCGTGCTCCGCTGTGATCACTGACCAGTACACCCGTGCTCCGCTGCGACCACTGTGACCGGTACATCCGTGCTCCGCTGTGATCACTGTGACCAGTACACCCGTGCTCCGCTGCGACCACTGTGACCGGTACATCCGTGCTCCGCTGCGACCACTGTGACCGGTACATCCGGGCTCCGCTGTGATCATTGTGACCAGTACACCCGTGCTCCGCTGCGACCACTGTGACCGGTACATCCGTGCTCCGCTGTGATCACTGTGACCAGTACACCCGTGCTCGCTGTGACCCACTCGGGTACCACGCTACAGTTGTGCCTTCCGTTGCAGCCAGTGCAGCAAGCCGTCGCCCGGTATGCGCAACGGCCAGGTGATCTCGTACCGGGCGTCCAAGGCCGCCCTCAACATGGCCACAGTGTGAGTCAGTCGGCCGGAGGTGGACCCTGCTTTACCTTGCTGCTGTCAGATCAGGCGCTTCAGTACGTGCTCCATTGCTGGGCCAGCCACGCAACGCGGTCTGGACGTTTTGTTGTTCGGTTAATCGCCCTCACGTCTACTAGAAACCTGTTTCAAATGGCATCGGCGAGCTGGTGTCGGTGCTCCATTCTTGTTTTCTCGTGTACGCTTCCCAGTGATTAGGAGGTATTCACTATTTGACTGACCATGTTGAGTGCTACTTCTGACCTTCGCTTTCAATGTTTGCTCACCTCTGACCCGTATCTGACCCGACCTGCGGATATTGGGACTCATCAGGAGATGCCGGAGTGCAGTTCCTGCTGGTGTTGGCCTGACCCGGCCCGGCCCGTCCCCAGTGTGATGCGTCAGGAGATGCCGGAGTGCAGTCCCTGCTGGTGTTGGCCTGACCCGGCCCGGCCCGTCCCCAGTGTGATGTGTCAGGAGATGCCGGAGTGCAGTCCCTGCTGGTGTCGGCCTGACCCGGCCCGGCCCGTCCCCAGTGTGATGTGTCAGGAGATGCCGGAGTGCAGTCCCTGCTGGTGTTGGCCTGACCCGGCCCGGCCCGTCCCCAGTGTGATGTGTCAGGAGATGCCGGAGTGCAGTCCCTGCTGGCGTTGGCCTGACCCGGCCCGGCCCGTCCCCAGTGTGATGTGTCAGGAGATGCCGGAGGTGCAGTTCCTGCTGGTGCACCCAGGCTGGGTGGCCACCGATATGGGCTCGGCGGGAGGTCGGTCGCCGGACGTGTCGCCCGCGGAGAGCGCCGCCGGCATCGTCCGCGTCGCCGGCGACGACCAGCGGCACTCCGGCGAGTTCATCGACTGGAAGGGCCAAACCATACCGTGGTAGCGCTCTGGCCGCTGCCCGGCGCCGGCGGACCGTCCGGAAGGCACCGGTCCTCCTGTCCCAGCTGGGCACGCGGCGCCGGACCAGCCGCGACCGCCGAGTGAAAATGTCAGATGTGGATTCGACCGCGTGCTCTGTGCACATTTAGTGGGGTTAATTCTGTGGATACGCGTGATGCCCAAACAGCTGTGTGCTCTAAAAGGGTTGCTGGGGGCTGCGGGGATGCAGCTGGCAAATCTGGATTTGCGGGATCTTGCAGGCTGCAGCTTGCACTGGACCGCAAAACAAATAATGTGATACAAAAGTTGATCTTGCAATTGCTTGTGCTCTGGTAATATATGCATGGGTATTGGGCTACATTCGTCGTGACGACGCTTAACCCCATAATATTTACCGTTATTTTGGTGATTTAGTTATAATCTGATGACAGGGAGCACCGGCCGCCAGAGTCGTGTTGTAAAATGTGTTCGAGCTGTGCTTGGAACGTTTTGACTCGCCGCTGGTTAGAGATCGTTTGAGTGAATGCACTGGGATGCTAATAAGCGGAATTCTAAATGTTTTTTACGAGTAATGCGTTACTCACGTGCGTCCGTTGTTATTATTCTATGTGGCCGTGCGGTATGGTTATACGATGAACTCCACATGATGGTATGATCGTCTATCGGATCCGGGTGAGGCCTGGAGCCAGTGAATATCAGGTACGCAGCGTCTCGCCACTGTCATGATTCTGCCGTGAGTTCAGCGTTTGCACCTCCCTGTTTTGCGGAGCTCGCGCATGATGGCGTCGGCTAACTAAGAGTGTGAGCGCTTGCGGGAGGCCGGTGCGCGACAGGTGTGCATTTACACCGAGGCATGTCTGTAGACGCACGACACTGTCCGCACTAGTCTCGAAGGCCACCGTTCTGCCTGTCATCTGTCCAGGGCTTCAGTGCTGCTGTCTTTTCTTGTCTCAAATGCCGCGCAGTCCCCTTAAAGTGCGACACGCTTGGTTGTACTGCGGCGGCCGCACGAGTCGGCGCTGGTTGTACTGCGGCGGCCGCACGAGTCGGCGCTGGTTGTACTACGGCGGCCGTACGAGTCGGCGCTGGTTGTACTGCGGCGGCCGCACGAGTCGGCGCTGGTTGTACTGCGGCGGCCGCACGAGTCGGCGCTGGTTGTACTGCGGCGGCGACACGAGTCGGCGCTGGTTGTACTGCGGCGGCCGCACGAGTCGGCGCTGGTTGTACTGCGGCGGCGACACGAGTCAGCGCTGGTTGTACTGCGGCGGCGACACGAGTCAGCGCTGGTTGTACTGCGGCGGCCGCACGAGTCGGCGCTGGTTGTACTGCGGCGGCCATGCGAGTCGGCGCTGGTTGTACTGCGGCGGCGACACGAGTCAGCGCTGGTTGTACTGCGGCGGCGACACGAGTCAGCGCTGGTTGTACTGCGGCGGCGACACGAGTCAGCGCTGGTTGTACTGCGGCGGCGACACGAGTCAGCGCTGGTTGTACTGCGGCGGCCGCACGAGTCGGCGATAGTTGTACTGCGGCGGCCACGCGAGTCGGCGATAGTTGTACTGCGGCGGCCATTGTACTGCGGCGTTTGTGCACTCAGTGAGATTTTGTAGGCCGTTGCTAGATGCGGCAAATCAGGGACTTGCAGGAATACTTACGGAACTGAAATATATGTGCTCCGTATGGGTTTAGCCATGCTGTTTCATCTGTCATGTCATGTCATGTCATCTGCCTGGCGAGTTGTACCGTCAGGCACGACACAGTGCGGACCGTGCCAATGCGCGAAACGCACCAAAGCAACAAGACGAAAGTTCTTACGGACCATTGCGATGCCGTCCGCGATACTGCGCCCCGGCTGGGCTGTTGACCGTAGCTGGTTCAGCCGATTGGCCGACGGCAGCTGATGACGGCTGAAGGCGTCTGTTTCCGCCAAACCCGTCAGGTATCGAGAACGCGGGCGTGCTGGGCTGCTTGTATTTGCTGCCATGTCCCGAACACACCACAAAAAACGCGTCGCCAAAGCTGTCTAACCAGGATAGGACCATGCACTAGCCTGTCGCTTTCTGTGATTCCTCGAATATCGGAAAGTATGTTACGTTGAGATATTTACACTTCTGTCGTCCCGCAGAGTCTGATTGCGTGAAATCGGACGCCGAGACAGACTCAGATTCCACGTATTCCACTCAGTCACTCTGAGAGAAAAGGCAGGCTATTAGCAGACGTAATGTATTAAGTATTTTCTGTGAAGCATTACAATGAGATTCGTCCTCTGTGCAGAGTCCCAGCGTCCTATCTTGCAGCGACCTTCGGCCTCCGTCCAGCAGGCGCGTGCCCAAGGACGTGGCTCAGGCCATGTCAAACACAGTCCCTCTATCCACCATCCACCAGTACACACAGACAGACAGACACACACACTGAGATAGGCGCGGTGAGCCAGTGCGCAGGGCCCTAGGCCGGGCTCGTCCCAGACGGGCCACGAGTCCGCGGGGACGAGCCCGGCTTGGGCGCCGGTTCGGGCGCGCGCCGGCGGTCCGGCGGCGCACTTCTGCTGACGGCTGCCAGGGCGGCGCGCCGGTCGGTGTCGGAGATCGCTCCGATTCCTGGCGGGGAGGCCCCCGGAGGAGCCGCCACTGGGACCGGCCTCGCGCGGCAGAACGGGCGGGCGAACCTCGGCGGTTTGTCTATGCTATCGTTAGCAGCGTTAGTCGGACGAGTTTGTCGGTTATGGCCAGCGCGGTCGCCAGCGGCGCCTGCCGGCCAGTTTAGCGGCGTGTGGTGCGCGCGCTCACCTTCTCGCCGAGATCATTAGTATACGAGCGGGGCACAATCCACTTTATGCCACGGGAAGGGCGCGTGGCCCGGCGCGGGCCTCTGACGTCTGGTGGCGGTCTGGCGGCCGGCCGGCGCGCCCTCTCGCAGCCTGACACGGTCTCTTTTGCGCGCGTTATCACAGTATTAGAAGTCGGCCCTGGCGGCCGCACGGTCCCTCGGGCGCCGTCTGGCACGTACGCGTGCTGGGACGCCGCCGCCCGTCCGGCCTACGCGACAAGCACCGGGTTAGATTGCGATTAGTATGCGGCTATCGTGCCGCGGCGTTATGGTGGCGGGTTCGTCTGCCCGACCCACCGACTCCACCGGCCTTCTACCGGCTCATCTGAAAACACCACCAGCGTCACCGCATACTCGACCGACGCCACCGTCATCTACCAGTCGCGCCGACGCTCTGCCGGCTATCCGCCCCTCCGCAAGCTCTTCTTCTTCTCCGCCGGCGCTCCACCGCCTCTCGTTCCACTCTACCAACTCCGGCAGCCGTCGCCCACGTCCGCCAGCATTCTACCGGCGCTGCCAGTCGACGTCCGTCTCGGCCATCGAGTAGACCTCCTCGCGGTCGCCGATCGTGGACGGCGCGCCGCGCGCGCTCACCTCCTGGTGGCTCTCGAAGTAGTGGCGCTGCGTGCCGGCCGTGCCCGGCATGTCAGGCCCGTCGCTCGGGTAGGCGCCCCAGGTCTCGGTGAACTCGGTCGTGCTGCGCACCACGCCGCGGCCGTCGGTCGGCAGCGGCGGCTCGTCGGGCAGCGAGGGCCGCAGACCCGGCGAGTCGGACCAGTCGTCCGGATGGTACCGGTGGAACGACACCATCTCCTCAGTCATCGAGCGCACGTCACCGCCGTAGCTCGACCTGTCGGCAGGCGCCCGGCAGTTACTTGGGAGTGGATCAGGTCTCAGGGCGTGACAACCGTGCACGCCAAGTAAAACACTCCTAACAGAGCGCGTGACGCCTGAAGACAGCGTCCAGCAACTCCAGGTGGCGTCACGGTCGTAGGTGGTGTAAATGGCAGTTGATATGGATACAATGTCATGAAGCATTTATGTCAGTTAAAGTTTTTGCCTTACCGAATACGACGAAAGCCAACTCCAGCTGACGTAGAAAGCACTGTCCAGTGAATCGGCAATTTTTTCCGTCCGTGACCCGCCAGCTGGCGCTACTGACCTGGTGGTCACCTCGAATCGGCTGTTACTGACCTGGTGGTGACCTGGGAGCGGGTACTGCCCGGCCCGGAGCGCGGCGGCCGCGTCGGTCGGCCGTCCGTCTCGTACTCGTACACAGGCGGCAGCTGCTGCAGCTGGTCAGGCCGCTTGCGGTACCTGCAGACATCACCGAGGGTCATACCTTTCCTTCTGATCAGCTGCTGTATACACTGCGGGAAAGCAGGCTGAAGCTGCCGCATGGTAGGATTAGGGCGAGGGGCATCTCGATAATGCCGCTGGGAAAGGGGCCTCCAACCAGCGCCTGCCACTGACAAGGTCCCAAAGTGACAGCGGTGTCTTCGTCTGACGCTTTCCGTCCCTGCAACGCGACTTTTTATATCTTATCCTTGCAAACTCTTTGCGAAATGAAACTATCTCTTGAGGTAACCTCAAGTGTGAACATGGTTGTGCAGGGCCAAAGCTTGGGTTCAAGTAATCAGCAATATTCGCTGTCGCCCCACCCCCTCGTCCATTTGAAACTCGCCAAACGTCGCTCCTGCGCCCCTGGCCGGCGTCTACGCCTCTGCCGGGCCTCTGCACCCCTGGCGGGCCTTTCCTGGCTCACCGGTGGATGCGCGGCTCCGGCGGCGGCTCAGGGATGTCCGAGAAGTCGGTGATCTCGGATGGCGCGCGCGTCGTCTCGGAGAACTCGGACGGCGTGACCTCGAGCGGCGGCGGCGCCAGCACGCGGATGATGACGTCCCACTTCTGTGGCGAGAGCACGCGCGCGAACCGCGTGTCCTGCCTGATGCGCTCGAAGTCCTGGTAGACGCGGGCCTCGGTGAGCAGCGTGCGGAACGTCTCCTCGCGGGTGATCAGCTGCCGCAGCGTTTCGCGGTCGTCGTCGGTCAGCACGCTCAGGCGGTCATCGAACTCCTGCGGCGCCTCCAGCACGCGGATCAGCACGTCCATGGAGGGCGGGTTGCGCCGCGGCGGCGTGATCTCGCGCCGCAGGGGTCGGATGGGCTCCTCGGGCCGCTCCTCCAATGGGCGCGGCAGCTGCGGCGGCGGCGGCGGTGGCGGCGGCGCCACCAGCGTGCTGCGCTCCGCCGAACGCGTCACGTCCCGCCCGGTACGCGTACTGGTGAGGAACGTCTCGTCCGTGGCCGAGAACAGGTTGCGCTCCGTCTCGAAGGCGGTGTGTGCCGTGTGCAGTCCGGGCAGTGGCGGCACCTCGGTGCCGATCGACGAGTCGTCCCAGTGCGAGGAGGCTGTGTCGGGGAAGTCACGCTCGGCTGGCGGGTACTGGCGGATCTCCACGTCCCAGTCGGGCGGCGGCGCCTGCTGCTGGCGCTCGTAGTACTCCTTGACAGCCCGGCGCCGGCGCTCGATGTCCTCGTACACCTGTGGCGGGGACGCCGAGGAGGAGTTACAGGAGGGAGCAGATAAATCTGGAGACGGCAAGGGCGCCGAGGAGTTACGAGAGGGATTCGGACAACTCTGGAGATGACCGGGTCGCCGAGTGAGTGGGTAACTCAACAACGAAGCAGGGACGGCGGGGCGCCAAGGAGGAGTAACAGGAAGAAGTAAACAGCTCGGAAAACGCTATGCACGCATGACATGGAGTAGCAGCGGCAACTCATTTTCCTTTGCCAAATACTTGTCATATTCGACACTGAGCCGACCCCTGTCATTTCCTGCATCTGTCAGTGGTCAGAGTCGGAGCGCGTCCATGCTCACCTTAGTCTCGGTGATGGTCGAGAGGATCCTGTCGTCCACGGTCTGAGTGGTGAGAGTGGGCTTGTGTGGCGGCGGCGGCGGCGGCGGCAGCGGGGCCGTCAGTACTTCAGTCGTGTCCAGCACATCCTGCGAGGCCACTGTGTCGGGCTCGGACGGCTCTGGCGGCGGCGCCGGCGGCTGGTGCACGCGGAACTCGCTGCTGAACACCGGCTGCGGCGGCTCGGCGCGCGGCGGCGCGTGCAGCTCCGCCTGGTGGTGGATGACGGCGTGCGCCGGAGGTTCCGGAGACTGACTGACGCGCCGCTCGCTAGATGTCAGCATGGTCGTCAGCTGCTGTTCAGCGGCGTGCAGGGCTTCGGCGTCTGAAGAGGGGAAGCGGAGGGGGGGGGGGGGGGAGTCGTCAGCTGCCAGCCCTCGGGGCAGCGGCGCAACCGAAAAATTATGTTCTAGATCTCCGCAGAGCAGCGACGAGAGCATGCTGGCACCCTGCATCGTCTTTTAGTACCGAAAGGCAAACAGTACACACAACACCTGAAGCACCGCCCATCCCGGCCATCTGCGGCCTCGTCCCCGCACATACCAGGTCGTCGGGCCGCCAGATTGGGCTGCCGGTGGATGTCCACCTCCTCGCGCACCATCTTGTCCGTGTGGGTGGTGTTGAGGAGCTCCTCGGTCATCAGGTAAGCGCGGTTGGGCACGCCGCCCCCCACCAGTGGCATGGGCACGGGGGGCGGCCCCTCCAGCGGCGGCATGGCCCTCTGGATCATGTCGATCCCGACCTCCGAGTGGGCCGTGCTCGGAGACTCAGACGGGTAGTCGGATGGCAGCGTCTCGGAGCTCGTCACCTGCCGGCGGCGGCAGCCGGTTCACAGCGGACGGCAACGAGGTCACAGAGGTCAACGGGGTCACTGTGACGTCGAAGAGGTCAGTCAGCCAGGTAAGGAGGAATGTGGGGAAGAACATTTTTCACATGGTACCGACAGTGCACCCACTTCCTTTCAGAGTGTCAGCCATCACCAAAGCGCTGGACCAAGGCTAAGAGCGCTACCCGGATCAGTTGTTCCAAAGTAGTGAGCACTTGATTCTCACAGAGATTACACAGAGAAGTATGCTTACTGGCGAAGATGCAAACAGCGTATGGATATAAACCATGACTTTCCTTACTGCAAACACGCATGAGACAGAGGCCCTACCGGTCCGTGGTCCCGCCTCGGCAGTGGCGCCGTCTCACGGGCGGCGTCATCACGCGTGAGACGGCGGAACTCACGTCGTCGACTAGCGGGATGGCGTGCGCGCGCGGGATCTTGAGTCCGTCGAAGATGGGCACCGAGCCGGAGTACTCTGACGGAGGCGCGCTCTCCAGCGGCACCTTCTTGATCAGGCTGATCCGCCGCTTCTTGACGCAGGCGTAGCCGAAGCCGAGGCCGAGCAGCAGCAGCGCCAGGAAGAGGATGGCGCAGATGATCATGATGATGTCGGCCTCACCGAGCCGCTTCAGGGGCGTGATGGGCGCCGCCGGCGGGTCGGCGATGAGGGGCAGCCCGGCCACGGGCGGGGCGGCGATCGGCGGTGGGTAGCGGCACACGATCGTCACCACCTCGTCCCCCTCCCACTCCAGGTGCGGGTGGAAGCGCATGATGATGTTGTTGGTGAAGACTCGGGCTGGACCCTGAAGCACAACAGGCAGTGTCGAGGGTTACTGGGCCCTGCAGTGCACAACGACACGTCATGGCGCACGCGGTTTTGTTGCGACATTGTTGGAACTGTTGTTCTCGTTCAATGCTCTCTTATGCCAAATGCACGCAAATTATAGACTTGATTGCTCCCTTTAACGTAGCTCGAATATCAAGGCATCGTATTATGAAAAAACATAACAGCAAACGCACGTACACGGTCACATACGATGGTGCAGTGTATGTGTGCTGCAGCATAGCGGAAGCAATTGCCAGGATTCATGCATCGGCCGAGGCACATCAGCCATGGCGGCATCGCTCGGGCGCTAGGGCCCGGCCAGCAGCGGCTTACACTGGGGCGTGAGGGCTCGGCCAGCAGCGGCTTACACTGGGGCGTGAGGGCTCGGCCAGCAGCGGCTTACACTGGGGCGTGAGGGTCCGGCCAGCAGCGGCTTACACTGGGGCGTCAGGGCTCGGCCAGCAGCGGCTTGCACTGGGGCGTGAGGGCCCGGCCAGCAGCGGCTTACACTGGGGCGTGAGGGCCCGGCCAGCAGCGGCTTACACTGGGGCGTGAGGGTCCAGCCGGCAGCGGCTTAGACTGGGGCATGAAGGCCCGCACAGCAGCGACTTACACCGGGGCGTCAGGGCTCGGCCAGCAGCGGCTTTCACTGGGGCGTGAGGGCCCGGCCAGCAGCGGCTTACACCGGGGCGTGAAGACCCGTCCAGCAGCGGCTTACACTGGGGCGTGAGGGCTCGGCCGGCAGCGGCTTACACTGGGGCGTCAGGGCTCGGCCAGCAGCGGCTTACACTGGAGCGTGAGGGATCGGCCAGCAGCGGCTTACACCGGGGCGCCAGGGCTCGGCCAGCAGCGGTTTACACTGGGACGTCAGGGCTCGGCCAGCAGCGGTTTACACTGGGGCGTGAGGGCTCGGTCAGCAGCGGCTTACAACGGGGCGTGAGGGCCCGCCTGGCAACGGCTCACCTGTTTTGTGCCGCAGCCCCGCAGCGGCAGCTCCACATGGTAGCTGGTCTTGCCGTTGCCGTGCCAGGTGCAGGGGGATGTGCGGTCAAAGTTGGCGTAGATGATGCCGTTGAAGGGCTGTTTGAAGTTGACGTCGATCTGCATGTTGCCGTCGGCACAGTTAAGGTTGGCGCTGCTGCGGTTCAGGTAGATGATGTCGCCTAGCTCGTCCAGCTCCACAACCTTGCCGTTGAGCCTGCCGGACACGTTAGAGGGAGCTTCAGGTGAAGGACATGTGAGGAAAGTCAGAACAAATTGCTGATTAACGCAGTCCAGTAAAGTTGGCCTGATACGCTACATGCGTGGCATCAAAAGTACCCTCCAAGGTCCAACGTCTAAGTGCGTTTCTCTGACGAGTTATTGCATTTAATCGCTAAAAGGCTTTTAATCCAGAAAATAATATGCATTCAGATAACGCATTGAAAAGCTGGCAGGGCCGTACACAGGTAGCTCAAAATTCAAATATAATCGACCTTAATGATGATCCAAAAATAATCAGCCTCCATGCTTGAGTCATCAACAATAGTGCCATGTCCAGCTGCTGGGTCATACGGAGCACAATGGTAACGAAGGAAGCCCTTAACATATGAAGCACGCAGTAAAGCTTTTCTAAGCCTATTACTTACAGGGCAGTCTCCGGAAGAGGAGGTTTACCCTCCTGGCCGATGTAATTAGGACCGAGCTCCTCGGTCTGGCCTGACACCTGGTGGCAGAGCAGCGCAGCTGCAGCTGCCAGCAGGCGGACAGATGGCGCCATCTGGAGCAAAAGGTGCACTTGCTGAGTTGTCCCGAGTCAGAGTTCAATGGAATGATAAGTGACGCAACTGACCTTAGACTGCGGCGTCGTGAAAGTTCGCCGAGTGCATGGCGTGCGTGGTGTACAGCCAGTCACCAATAAGGACTGGGCATTACAACAGGCGCCAGGTATGATCAGTCCCAGGGTCCAATGACCTATCATCGGTACACCAAACACACCTGCTAACTCCGACAAGCAAGATTCGAAAATTTAGACCCAAGTAAGGGAACTCGGTGCCGTAATCCGTTCATCTTAAAAATGGATGATTAGCATGGGCTTAAGTAAATTTTATTCATTGGTTTTTGGGTCTGGTGGATAGTTGTCACGGCCTGCCGTGACGATGACGTCATGCCATGACGTCAAGACATCATAAGAATATACAGCAGTTGTTGTACGACCCAGGCCTTCTTCAGCCAACCGCTGTGCATTGCATAAGCCAGTGTGTCAGTTTCCAGTCTTTCTATGCCTTTATTCCGCCCGTTTTTGTTATCGTTCTAATGACCACCGCAAGTTCGCCGGGCACACCTCAGCGTGCAGCAAACCATCTTCCCGGGCACGGCGCAATGATGCACCTGCACGGTGCACTCCATCCG